AACCCTAAACCCTAAACCCAAGATAGTAATTTTCGGAGACTCCCGGGAGACTCCCAGGCTCCTTGCGCACGTCCTCCGGGCTGGGTTTGGCCGTGCGGAGGATCTGCTTCTCGGAGACATGGATGGAGAGCCGCTCCTACGAGGGACCATCCCCGGCTTTGGGTTTAGGGCTGTAGGGGTTTGGCGTTTAGGGTTTAGGGTTTGGGGTTTTAGGGGTTTAGGGTTTGGGGTTTAGGGTTTTAAGTAACTATAAGTATTTTTTGCCGTATTTATGACTTTACAGGCTAAGTCACATGATCCTCCTTCATGGCTTTTAAGGGTCGACGTTTTATAAGACCTTCATTGTGTTTCCGTCTGAAAAACATCTGATCCTACTGAAAGCTGCCCACGATTCAGTAAGTACTCTCTCATACTTTCCCACAACAGCAATACGGCAACCTACACACAAGGTACGAATGCACACCACTATCACTGCACACAGCGGTTTGCACAATGATGCTGCTCTTCGGCCATCAACTCAAGACTGCATAGATTCTGAAGTTTACGTTGTTGCGCAGTCGAACTTGTAGCTTACTTAATCTGCAGTTCTACAGGACTGCTTCATAAAATGCTCGCATGGATGCCAGGATGCGTGCATACGTGATTGCATGACTATACGGAGGCATGAGGATGAGCTGACACCTGGCACTCTTGCATCTGTTAGAACCGCACTCGTTCTCACGCCCGTCGAAGTCTTACAGTATCGCGTGGCTCCTTTATGAAATTACCCTGTCTCTCCTGCAAAACTGGGGTAAGTGGTTGCATGGAAAAGGATAATGAAAGTAAAGTCATGGCAGATATGACAAACCCGACTGCACACAAAAACCCGGAGGACTGAGGTCGCGCGAAACCCCTGACACGCAGACACACACAACACTCTCTTCAAAGGTGCAGAGGCACCAGGCATGCAGCTTGAGCCCACCATGCCCTCCACGAAGGCACCACGAAGGCACTCGCAACCCCTAAACCTCACCAAACCCCAAACAAACTATGCTCTGCGAACCAGGCCCCAAGAAACATGCCTGGACGTGAAAATCCGCAAATCACGAAGTACACCAAAACCTAAATCCCAGTGCCCACCATCAGGCACATTGAAGGCGCAGTGTTGCACGTACTTAATACTCAAGTGGTTGTCTCGGACAGTCCACAATGGATGCATGCATAAACACTAAACCCCAGACCCCCAAAACCCGAAACCCAAACGGTTCAGGGGGAGCACCAATCAGGCTACAGACTTCACTGTAAAGAAGCCCAACACATAGTGGGGGCTTACCTGACAGGGTAGTGTTGATTCTGCTTGCCTCAGAGCCTGAGAGAACAGCCAGACTTTCGCTTAAAGCGCTGTATGGTCTGTTGCTGCATGCTGTCTGATTGCTGCTGTGCAGCTGGCAGCACCTGAGAACTGTCTGTGAAACACATGCTTCTACCTGCTTCGTTGACGCACAACGAAGATGTGGCTCGAAGCTCTGCGGGAAGGCGACGGCTAACCGAGGCGCCATGGCTCCTGAAACTGGCGGTTCCAAATCGCGCCACCTTTGGGAACTCCTTCCCAAGTTGGTAGGAGGTCGTCTTCTTCGTCGATCTCCTCTTCACTCTCTTCCTGCTCCATGAGCTCGTTTCCTTCCTGCTCCGGTGCATTGTCGTCCATCTCGCGCTGGAAAGCGGAATTCTCCAAGAGAGGTGGGAAACCCGGAATCCAGCAGCTAGTCAGGGCCGCGTAGTTCACATAGAGGCCTGGAAACTCATCGTAGAGCTCCTTCTCTTCCTCCATGGTGACGTGGAGGAGCGATGCCCACAGCACAAAGCCGACCATCACCAGCATGCCCGGGTTGCACAGGGCCAGCTGCGTGCCTAGACCCCAGAGTAGGGCTCCCAGGTACGCTGGGTGGCGTTCCCAGGCATAGGGACCTTCACGGACTACCCGGCGATTCGGAATCTCCAAGCCCACCAGCTCATCCTCCTCGAGCTCCCGTGTCGAGGCCCAGAAGTTTCTGTCCGCCACGCGCGCAGCCCAGCTCACCAAGCCCTGGCCCAAGGCCATAGACACAATGCCTAAAAGGACAAGAGGCGTCCACAGCTTGAAGTCTGGGAAGTATCTCCATTCCAGAAAGAATTCTAGGCAGCTCAGTGCCACGGCTGCGTCATAGGCAGGAAAGACCGGGAAAAAGAAGGACAACGTGGAGAGGTAGTCCGGTGGCAGAGTTTTGCACTCTTTCAAGTAGCTCTGCAGGTATAAGATGCACGCGAAGATGACAACGATGGACCATGGCCCCAGCGAGTCTTCACCATCTGCAGCCAAAAGCCAGGACCCAAGTTCCGCCAGAGCATGTCCACCATGGAATGCCAGCACCCCGCACACCAGAAGCAGCGCGCACTCGCTGCCAGAGTCCCGCAGAAGGATGATGAGCGCAAGGTGGCAGGCCAGGAAAGACCATACCAAGTAGTAGGCCGAACAGCACTCGAGGATGGAAACAACAAAGCCAAAGAGCGCCCCCACGGCAACAGCGGCCAGTCCACGAGAAGCCTTCTTCTTGTCCGGGTACTCGAGCTCGTCGTAAAATCGCGTAGGCGCAGGTGGCACCACGACCTTGCCCTTTCTTGGTTCAGGCAGAGTCGGAGGGGCTGTGTAGCGAGGATTGCGAAGGTGAGCTTGCCACTGTTGAATCTGCTGCATACGTTGGCGCTGTTGGGCGAGGTGCATCTGCTGCATCATCATCTCTCTTCTTCGCATCTGCTCCATCAGTGCAGCAGGCCCCTTGCTGTCATCTTCCTCCGGAAGCTCCACACCTTCCTTGGCCGCCAGAGCTTTCAGCACCGCGCTGTCAGGGCAGAAGTAGAGCCCCTGCCTTAGCACTGCTGCAGCAGCTTCCACATGGCCCATCTCCTTGAACTCCTCATATTTTTGCAGGATGGCAAGTCCGCGATCTGGTGCAGCATTGGCACCAGCGGCGGCGTTTGCCGGAGCAGCTTTCGGCTCGTTCGCCTCCGCTGGCTGCGATGAACTCGAAGACTCGTCATCCGAGGCCTGCAGAGGCTCTAGAGGCTGATTGGGCCCATCATTGGGCTTCGCGGCCTCGTCAAAAACTTCGTTTGACGGCGGATCCTCCGTGCTCGGGCCCGCCTCTTGCTCTCCTGAGGCCTCCTCTAAGTCAAGCTTCTCGGAACCCTGGTCGACATCGTCGGTCGCAGGGTCGGGCTGTAGCTGTGAAGACTCGTCCTCCACCTGCTCGCCCTCCTGCGATGCCTGCGGACCCTCCATGGCTTCTAGCCAAAAATGTCATGGCATCTTGCGATGCGGAAGTGAAAATAACTTGAGCCTGTTTACGGCTTGGCGGTTCGGGTTTGAGGCGTTTCTGGCCTTCTGTATTGCGTGAGGGTATCGACTCAAGGTGAACATAGGTCTTCGCTCACCCTGCGACTCCTAGAAAAGATAACAATCAACGTATCAGTTATATGCACATAGAGGTAGCGAGAAATGGCATGTTCATACCTTAAGTCATGACTTTTCCTTCGTCACGTTCAAACCTGGTCACCATATACATCTATAATATATAAGAACACTTAGCGCCTCCCCCTTTCTCACGAAGCCCGTGGAAAAATCCTAAGAGACGAGGCTCCTGGGAGGCTGCCGACCTCGCTGGTCACGGGTGCTTCGGCTGCGGCTTCGGAGGGCGTTTTTTTTGGGGGGGGGGGTTTAGAGTTTCGGGCTTAGGGCTTGGGGACTCGAGGATGAAGGTTTCATGGAGGCGGTGCGACTGCTGATGATATTTTTTTCCTGCATTACCTTAAGGCCCCGAAACCATGGAATTATGGCAAATTCCTTGTTATGGGTAGTGCAGGATGTATATCGTCAACCGAAAGGCTGCACCGGGGTTCTAGGAGAGCTCTTGCAAACCCGAGTCCTCAAGACGGAAAGCCCTGCCAACACGCCTACAGCCCCGGTTGAGGGAGTCACACGCCAGTTGAGGTTGTCATCAGTTTCGGGAAGTCTGCTTGATGCTTTGGATTGCGGTTGCAGGCGAGAGGGTCCGCGGTTTTGGGGTACTGGCTTCAGCCTAACCCCGATGAGGAAGAAGAGGAGGATACTGGCTGCGTCTCATGGTAAGCTTGCAGCTCGTGATGTTGGACACATTGGCGACTACTTGTCGTTATCACAAACGTGACAAAAACAACAACCATTGTCAGAAGTGAACTGGATCGAGGCCCAATCCCTTGCAGCAAAGTGGCTGCACCATGCGCCGCGACCGCGAGGAAGATGACTTTGGGGTCGTGTCGTCTCTGCTTTCGACAGTGTCACTTCCTAAGCTGAGGGTGCAAGGCAGATGCTACGGCTGCTTTTGCGGTGCCTGCTGGCCTCCTTCGGGCCAATATCTTCAAAAACCTACACCCCAGTCGCCTGGCTGGGCTGTTGATGTTCACCAGTCTCTGTAGGTGCAATAGTAAGCTCCCTAAAGCATATGCCCTCTCGAAGGGTCAACCCAAAATACGGCAGCAAGGCCCGTTTTTTTCAACCTCTTTGAGCAGCCAAGGCCTCAAAAATGCTCTTAGGATATCGGTTTTTGACTGACCAAACCACTGGTGAAGCCTGAAACGGAACCCGGAATCCACCGGCTGCAAAAAAAAATAAAACAGATTTCAGGTTTTTTGGCACGAACTCCGTTTAGGGCCTAGGGTTAAGGACTAAGTACTATTTTTTACGACAACTGCTTCTACTTTCGCTATTATAAACATATGTTATTATCTTTGTTAATATTGTTACTAGTTTTGTTAGTATCTGTTTTAGTATCACTATTACTGTTAATATTTTAATATTGCTGCTATTACTGCAATCATTTTTTGCTATCAGCGCTATTACTATTACTATTAATATCTGGGTTTCGGTGTGGGGGGGTCCTGGCTAAACCATAAACCCTAAACCCCTAGGCTCTCGGAGCTCGGACAAGCTGAAATCTCGTGCTGCTCTGCCGCAGGTTCTGGTGGTGATCGCATAATATAGTATAAGACAACATAACATAATACAAAACAGCATAATCAAATATACTATAATATAACCTATAACAGCATATAGCCGGATAGAATAGAATTAGAATGGAATAAAAGAGAAAAAACGAACAGAATAGTATAGAATTGAATTTCTTTATAATCCATCTTATGGAACATGTTACGTCGAATATCTTGCAGACGAGAGGGAAACCAACCAGAATCACCAACGCGAAACAAACTGAAGGGCTGCAAGATCTGGGGACTCAGATGTTGCTGTCCTCACTTAGCTGACTCTGCAAACCCCTCCAAAGGCGTCATTGCGTCAGGCACGCAATATGGCATGCCTGGGCGTGGGCATTCACGAGCGTCTTTGAAGCTGTACAGCTTGCCGATGCAATCTGGGCAAGGTCACGAATGCAAAGAAACTCCCTCGTCGGCTGTACTGTAAGGTGGGGGTCAACACACCAACGGCCTTAAACCTGCCCTGGCTGCCCTGGCAGCTCTTCCATCCGGCGCCACTTCCCACGTGGCAGCAAGCCCAGAGACTCCGCTTCAGCCAGATATTTCTGAAAGATGGCGCTTCGTGAAGCTTCAGTGCCCGGCTCTTGTGGGTTGGAGGAGACGACGGACCGATTGGTAATGTCGAAGACGGTGTAGTGGATAGCCCACTTTTGATAGCCCGACACTTTGGAGCCTCCAGACCCCCCATCTGGAAGATCGTGGCCAAATCGGAGCTCAGTGCTACCGCCTCCCAGAGCAAGTCCAGTTCGCAGACCGGCTTCGATCAGCTGGGCGGCAGAATCGAAGACTTTCGGTGGCACAGTTATCCGTGGGGTCCCAGTGTCCATGATGCACAGCCTGCCAAACTTCCCGCGGAAACCTGCTGAACTGCGCGATCGTACCACCGCGGTCTTGTCGCAGTGCTCGTTCCTCACAGCGGCATCATCGAGATGGATCCTGCCCTGATTCTCCCCCAGTTACCGGGACATGCCCGGACCCGCGGATGCGCAGTTTCTCCACACGATACCTTGACCTCGAAGATTTCGGATCATAGGTGGACGCAGCCCTTGTCTGCCTTGCAGGAAGCTTCGACCGGAAGGCGAGGCCGAAGATTCCTGTAGAGACATTCTGGAAAGTCACGCTGCCAGCATGGATGTCACCTTCAACTAAGAGGCCCCAGTCATACATAGGAGCACCACCGGGTCGTAAACGACTGCAGGAGTTTCAGTGCGCTTCCCGAAAATGAGCTGGCAAAACTCGCGGGCAGAAGATCTCGCGTCAACCATCGCAACCTCGAAGCGCCAGTAGTATCCAAGCCACTGCTGGACTACTTTGATTTGCCACATCGAACGAGGAGCTCTCGGACGATCACCCTAAACCCCTGAACCCCCAAACCCTAAACCCACCGATGCAGATCATGTCAAAGCAAAGACTGCGCTGGTCGAGTCAATGCCGCGCTTGAGCCGTAGCCATGTACAGTGTGGGTGCAGGGCTTGTGAAAGCCGACAGCCTGGTGTTTATGATCCTGCAGCGACGAACTTGTGGCAACCTTCTTTGAGACAGCAGATCAGATGTGCTGACAATGAATGGCTGCCCAAGATGCAAGCGTCTTAAACAATCGGATCCTCATTTCAAGGATCTTCGCAAAAGACCGTAAAACCTAAACCTTGAACATAATCTAAACTACGAAGCCCCTCATTTTCAATACTCCGATGTGGAACCCCAGTAACCCAGTAAAGACATGCGGCGGTCCACGCGAGCACGGCCCCTTCGACTCTTGACCGGCTGGACCCTCGGCAGGGACGGGCCTAAACAGGGTTTGGGGTTTAGTCCAGGGGGTCAGGGTTTAGGGTTTAGTATGGAAGACAGGGTGACAGTCATGATGGCCATGGGACTGCTGATGCTGATGGTCATGGAAGCAACGATGATCTTTGTGACGATGTGACGAAGATGGCACAAACTTTCTGATGCTAAACAAGCGACATTCCCTACTTTTCAGGCGACCATTGCAAATATCCAAGTTGTCCGATCAATGCCTTTGTTTAAGTCACTCCGCTCCTCGGTGTTTCGATTATTGCGATTCCTGAGTTAATCATGGCAGCCTCCATCTGCAACAAGCTGTTTCTGTGCTGTTGCTCTTGTTCCTACTAGTCGTCCCGCCATGACTAATCTAGCAAATTTCTCTACGCTTGCCATTAGCATCATGACCGTTGCTGTCCTATTCCTACAGCAATTCTTTCACCTGGCTTATACCAATATTGCCATGCCTGTAGTTTCTGCCAATGCCAAAGCTCCACATATTCTGAATGAGAATGGACATGACAACTACACAAATGACTTTCGTTGTCGTACCGAAAATAGTACTGGCATTGTGGCAGTTGCTCTTGAGTAGTATGACAGTTACACAACAAAAAATGCATATCGAGGTGATCACTTCTTGCATCGAGCATCAACATCTCCACCGTCTTATGACATGTCGCTCCCTCTGCCTACCGTCGCTATCACTTTTTGCATCACTTCCTCGCTATCACTACAATCCTGAACCTGACAGAAGCGAAAGCAAAAACTGACAAGCTGCTCCGGCGGCTGCTCCGCCACTTCTGCGACCGCTTCCTCAGGCAAGAGGACCTTGCTTTGTGGTGGCTATCATTCGATGCACCCAATGCTACCTCTTCGCCCGGACCGGACCGACAAGGATGCAAGATTGCGAGATGCATCGCAAACTCACTATGCTCCGCAGGAATAGCATCAATTCAATCCCGACTGTTAAGCTATGATCCCTTCGCGTCTTCAGGACCCGAACTCAAACCCCGAAAAGTCGATCCTAAGCCCTGAAACCTCGGCCAGAACGTGTTAAAATGTTAGCTCCCCGTTCCCTCCCCCAGCCGGCACAAATCAAAGGCAAAGCCGCCTTGGCGCGCATGAACAGCCCGTGGTTGGGAGGACAAGTGAAATACTGCTTGTCCTTCACCTTGGCTACTCGTTGTAGGGTCAAACCGCTTCGGAATCTGCAGGCGTGTGCTTTGCATGTCTGCCACACCTCCACGCATGATAAAGCGAATGCACATTCACAATCTCGCCTGCAATCCGCACCAACAAATATCTGGCCCATACAGACCACTGCTCGTAAAAGCAATGCAACCCTAAAGCGCTGCTGCCATAAACCCGAAAAACTTTCACCAAGCACAAACAAAGCTGATTTATGCTGAAGGCGAGGGGCTCTTCCGTCGTTCTTGCCACGTGGCTTGTCCAACATAGTTCCTCGCATCCACTACTGGGGGTGGATTTAGGGGATAAAGGATTGGGGGTTGCAGGCCGCCACGGACCTGCATGCTTCAGACCGAAGCCTTCTTCCAGCACAAGTAGCTGCATGCCTTGTCATTCCCATTCCATATCACTGAGCCCTGAAGCCTTGACGGGTGCCCCCATGCTCTTGCAGGCAATTGTCCGACCCAGTCATGGCCGTCGGAAAACTCTGTCGAACCGGCAAATTTGACGACACCCGCCAAGCCGTAGTCGCTGCAGTAAACCACGCGCTGGCCAACCTTGGGGCTGTCCGAAGTCAGGGTTTTGCATTATAGATGTTGAAAATGCGGACGACAGGCAGGCTACGGGGAAGGTCTCGGTCAATGCAAATCATGGTACAAATCGGCCGAAGAACGACGTTCGAATCTGCACAAAATGCCGCAACAAGAACAGCTGAGAAAACGATGTAGGTTTATGACGAATAAAACATTTGAATATGCACCCTAGAACTCTTTGAACCTCAACGAACCCGAAACACCCGCCTCCGGCACCCCTTCGTCCAACCAAGGGCTCACGCACCTTAGCAAAACTGAGGCAATGAAGTTGTGTTTGACTGGCTGAAGCATGTCCATTCCCGGAATGTATGTTGAAGGACTAATCATTTTTATGGGCAATCCTTCATTCATCCATGGGTACAACGTGTCACTAAACAGCCGCATACAGGCTGAAAACTTTCAGCACAAGGGCTCCTGAACGTCACCGCGCAGAACATGCCATGCCACTGAAATTACGGCGACGGCGACAACCACTCACGACGACCACCACGACGATGAGACGTTTACACTTTTACTACTACTATTACTGACTGCTGCTATTGCTACTGCTGCTGCTGCTGCTACTAGTACTTTTTACTACTACTACTACTACTACTGCTGCTACTACTACTGCTACTACTACTACGACTACTACTACTACTACTACTACTACTACTACCCCTGCTGCTGCTGCTGCTACGACGACTAGTATTACTGCTTCTATTACACCACCACGACTACTCCCTACTCCCATCGCCCCTGTCCTAGTTTTTGGCACCTAAGACTGCTAGCTACCATTTAGGTTAATGCAATCACCATCACTACGCCATCCACGAGGACGAGGACGAGGCCACTGCCGCCGTTGCCGTCACCGGCAACGAAAATTCGATAAATCTCAACTCGTACTCCCACCTAGAAGGTCATAGTATTCCCACTACCACCACCACGGGCAAGTGTTGGCATGCCCAGTGCTGCCACGAGGATGCGTGTAAATACGTCATCATTTGCCACAGGCATCTGCATGAAAAACACGCGTCAGACCAAGATACGTGTTTCAGACAAGACAAATTCTCCAAGCGCCGTAACCCTTTCGAATGCGTCGCTGGGGCCACAGCTCGATAAGCGGAGATGCTTGTGTTTTGGCCATGCATGCAACTCCCGACGTACTCTCACGGCTTTGCATTCCACTGATAAACAGTTCTGCTACATCTGCCAACAATTGCCAATTATCCATATATACATGCACGTTTCATATTGAGCTGGCTGTGCAATATAAAAAACGCAAGCAGTGGATGTGTTTGTGTTATGTGGAGAAAACAACAACCCTTTTCGAGCCGCAATGCAACTCGCAACGACGGCATGCAGGCAGCGGAATGCAGTGTCTCCGGCTGGGGGTTCTCATCTGACCCACACGAAACGCATGTATGTTGCGACATATACAAAATCCCCGGCGCATGTCCAAACAAGGAACATTAAAGCAAAGCTGAGGAAACCGCTTAGCGCACGTGCAACCCCATTGCCCATGGCGGGAAAAAAAAAACACTGCCAGTGTGAGTTTTGACAGGCGCGCCGCGTGCGGACTGCGGCGGCAGTCGCACCTGGCATGGACGCCACGTGGCGTGAACCGAACCTCAGCAGCTGGTCGGGCTCGCAGCAGCACCTGTGGTCACAGTGCTCGATGCAAAGCACGATGCAGCCGCGAGCTTCCGGCACAGATCCAGACTCCACTGGCCATGGTCTGTTTAACGGCTGTGCGGAAGCCCGATGGCTGCATTCGGGACAGGCAGCGCCTTTCGCCGCCTCGTTTCCCGAAGCAATGGGCAACCGTGTTTGACAAAGCCAGACGCCCGTGCCAGTTTGCTCTGCAAGAGCGGGTGGGCACGGATGCACTGCACTGGCAGCTCACGTGCGGGTCGCTCTCGCCCAACGCAACGATAGGGTCCTGGTCTCGTTGGAAAGTCGCAGCGCCAACGACGCCATGTCGCGGGCAGATATCCTGTCCAAGCTGCGCGATCCCCCTCACCTGGCCGCATGTCCGCATACAGCTGGTAGGACGACGCCGGAATCCATGCTACCAGCAAATGATTCCATCACTTGCCAATCGTTTCATACCGTTCATCTGCGAAAAAAATCCGGCCATTGAACGACCATGAACATGGTCAGGTTGTAAAACACGACACGGCTTTTCAGCAAATGTTTGTACAACTACACACAAGATCAATTACGGCATCGGTACACTCACTCTCACTGTTGTCCGACACAAGCGTAAGATAGCGTAAGCAGTATCCCGTTTCACACACTTCAGCGGCATGGCACACGTTGGCACCAAGGAACGTTGTTAGCAATTTCACAAGCACGCTTGGAAGCTGCGGAGGTGCAACACAACGTTGGTGCAACACAACGTTCGCAAAATTAATGTCTGTGATGACCGGCTGGAGAGAGCGCTTTGCCAGCCCTTTTTTACGCAGTGGTAACACCAAGGCCACGCACGATGCGGAATTGAAGATCATGACCGTGGAAATCCGTGGAACATCGTCGATTATTTCGCTCCGTTGTTGGTGCCGCTCAGAAGTTGATTGGAGTTGCCCATGCTTCGTGGGCAGCCGAAATACTGAAACGCCACTGGAAACCATTGGGAATACATCGCAACCGTTCCGGCGAAATGTTGGAACCGTTGGGTGCAGCCCGCTTTGAGTTGGCAACCCTCTGGATCCCACAGACTTGGCCGTCAGAATGAAAAGTTGGAAAGCGAAACAGCCATATATGCAGATTCATACATTTGCACGATTGGGTGGCCACACCGACGTTAATGTTTTGTGTCGCGTTGTTTTTGTTTTTTTTCCCGCCCGCGCCTGCAGGATGGTCCGCGTACTTGACTTGACTTGACGTGCCCTGTGTGACGGATGTTTTTTTGCAACGGAACCTCTTTCCCATCGCATTCCAGTGAAAAATTTTTTGTTTTTCCCGCAGCAGTCGTGTCCGTCAGGTGGGGACGCGCGGTCCCCTGTTAGGGCCGGCTCAGCCGCACAGCGGCAAGCGGCTCGGCCCTTCCGGGTCGGCCAAATCCAAAACCTCGCTCAGGTCCGGCGCATCAGTGTGTGCCGGGCCCGGCATGGCCCGGGCGCGCCCTAGCGCAGTGTGACCAACGGCCTGTTGGACCGCGACGGAGAGCACGCTCCACCAGCGGCACGCCCACGCGGCTTTTGCGGGGGCGCGCATCGCCGGAGGGGCTTTGAGCGCGCGGAGGGCGACGAGGCGCCTGACCAGCATCACCGCATCGGTGCTCCACCGCCCACCCACCTCGCAGCCGAGCACGCAGAGGGCTTGCGCGCGCCCGTCAGCGAGCTCCGGGTAGGTGGCGTGTTTGCGCCGCAAGGCGGTGCGGAGGACCGCGCCATCCTGTGTGTCCGGGAGCGGGGCTCGCCCGCTCGCGTAAGTGAAAAATTAACGCACACGCGCGTTTCCGTTGTGCTAAACAGGCGGTGCAGGCAAACAGCATGCTCCGTGCTGAAGCATGCACCGGCCATTCCGATCACCACTTTGAGCGGAGGAGCTCCCAATGCGGCAAAGGGCAGCAGCGAAGCAGGTGTGCAAAAGCGACGGCGCCAGCCATGTTGTCCGATAACACACCGGACGCGCAGGAGCGTGGCAGAAAGCAAAGTCAAGCTGCTGTCGTAGCAGCAGATCAGAGCAAACACTGCACCTGCGTCCGCAATGCTGCTGTCGTCACAAACCCCGGTGGAGCGTCAAACTGTCTTTTTTCCGACTTGATGCGGTCGATACGCGCAATGTCGTGACCGCTGTACCTCCGAGTGGGCTTGCCCGACAAGCAATGAACTTTTAGCAATCCAATGCATCGACGCCGGGGTCGAAGTTTTCAGCTACCTTGTGGTCGGTCGTCGGATGCCTACAGCTCCCAGTTTTTCCCAGACATCGGCGAGCCCAGCTTCCGCAACTTTTGCAATCAACCGAAATATCCACCTGCTAACCCGACAGCAATCGCTGCCGTTCGTCCCAACATACCGACCTGTCGGTGATTTGCGGTACGGGCATTTTCAATCGAGACGATACGTTTCGTTGGACCTCAAGGCGGAAACTGACCTCGGATTCCAATGATGCGGATTTGTCTAAAATCATAGAGCTGAGTGTTTCCAGTTGTAAACTGTAAACCTGGATGAAAATGTTGCACCTCACAAACCTGTTTCAAGAACGACGCCATGCTAGAGCGCGCACTGCTAGATAATGTCGAACAGCACAGATGTTTGCCCACCACACGATGTCGCCCGGTAAACGCGTGTAATAAAGCCTGTGTGAACATGTGCTCATTTTGTCAAACCTCAAACGTACATGTGAAAGCTTTACCTGGACGTACCACATTTCATTGAGAAATAGGTTTAAACAAATCCCAACAAAAGCAATGTTTTAATTTCCTTTACCGTCCTAAAACTGCTCTAAAACTGTATAATAGATCAACTGATCAACTGATCAACTCGTTTGACAAGATTTGCGACATGCAAGTTTTTATGCAACAAAGGATGTTATGTTGCATTGTTTCTGCACCAAGACAACGCACGCAAACAAATGAAATGGACAGAATGCACTCTCGTCCTACAAAAGCCTGACAAATCAAAACTAATGTACATGCAAACACCAAAAACCTTACCTGTGAAGGCAAGACTTTTTTTTTCTCCCGCGCACCTTTCTGCTGTCCGCAAGGTCCAAATCCCCGTGCAACCTGCAAACTACGGGCCCAAAAGGCTGGATGGGCACGCGGAGCTGCGTCATGCAGCACGTCCGTGAGTGGCGCCAGGTAGGGCGCCAGCAATAATATTGGGGGTGTTTTTCGCGAGACCCAAAACCGCGACAAATATCCTCGAAAACGGTCTTTTCGACCTTCCGAGATTTTACGAGAGAGTTCTAGGGTGTTCCGTAAGGCCGAATAAATGCGAAAAATGTTCTCGAAAGCGCTCTTTTCGACTTCCGAGATTTTT